ACATACTTAAAAAAAACGCTGCTCATATGTGCATTCAAGGAAGCCATGCCGCAAATGCAGTTTACAGTTTAAGGTTTAGGAGTTTTGGCAACCATTGTTGAGACCAATTTTTGCTCGGCGCTCACCTGTTCACGTGTGACCAAGCAGTCTCAACTTACCGGTGTTCAGTAGGGAAATGAAGAATGGATGCCATTATCGTCCCTATATAAGCCCCAACCCGAAACTGTAAGCACAGCACACCCTAAGGGTCCATGGACCCAAATAATAGGGCTTTAGGGCCCAAATACCATTCATATTATAGTACTTGGGCCCTTAAACCCTATTATGTTGGACCCTTAGGGACGGTAGTTCCCCTTATCTTTACCATTCCTTCATTCCCTGCTGACCACAAGTGAGTCCACGTCTGAACCGCGAAGGTTGGAACTTGGAAGGTTGCCAGCTCAGCTTAGGGGTTTTATGCTTCAGGGTCTAGAGGTTTACAGAAAAGTATATCTAACCGTATACACCCATCTTTCCATTCCATTTCCAATCTTTCGCAAGCATTAAGGCAGCCTTCATTACATTCGCGCTTCAAGCTTGTTCTGCAGGGCAAAGCGCTCGCCTCGCAGATGGGTGAAACTGTTGTGGGGCCTCAACTCCACTTACTACTGCTAAACCCAAGGGCTCCAAATAGGCCAATGTAGGTACTATTTATAGACATTGGGGCCCAATGTAGGCATTATTTGTAGACATGGAGCCCCAGGGAAAGGGTGAGCGGAAAGGAAAGGGAAGCTTCTTAGGGCCTTGGGGACCAAGGGCGTTTTAAGGCAGAGTTGGGGATCCGTTTGTCTGTCTGGCTATTTGGGTTATATTGAAATGGAAAATAAAATGGAAACAGCTACATTATAGGGGTTATATAGATGTTGCGGTTTAAAGTATCTCCGTGAATACCCTGTATTAGTACCCAAATGCACTGCCCCACTCCCTTTCATCCCCAGCAAGTCATGTGAGGTTTTATCACTAGCTTGCTTGGTGGCTGCTGCCGAACGATTTTCGCGCTTTCTGGTCCGACTTAAGAACCATCATAATCTCATGAATGCTATGAGGAGGCAACCTTGAGCCACGACGTAAATCAGTGAACACCATGAACAAGAAACTAAAACAGAAGTTTCCGTACATGGGAGCCCAATATGAACCCCAATCTACTTGAATCTTTACTCTGGGGACTCCCCCACAGGGGCCACCCAGCTTTTGGAACCTCCAACTTAAATCCCTAAACCCTAAACCCTAAACCCTAAATGGGAACAGTTCAAAAGTCGATGACCGAGTGAGACGAGGAAGTATCGCTGCCATCGTAGCTGCTGGTGTCCTCCTCTGGAAGATTCTGCCTGAGCTCAGGGTTTAGGGTTTAGGGTTTAGGGTTTTAGGGTTTAGGGTTTAGGGTTTAGGGTTTTAGGGTTTAGGGTTTAGGGTTTTAGGGTTTAGGGATTCAGGGACTTAGGGTTTAGGGTTTTAGGTTTTTAAGGGCTCAGGGTCTGGGCTTGGAGTTTAAAGGTTATCTGCGCGTTCGAACTAACCCGGGAGTTACGTCCCCCAGAAGTATGGAACCAGAAAAGCTTGGCTTCCGGGAGTAAAGCGTTTCTAACAGGGCCACGATTCAGGTTCCGCAGCAGTCCGGGATTGGAACTACCCTAAACCCCAAACCCTGAACAGGGGCGTGGAGTTGCCCATATATTTAGAATCCGAGCGGACTCCGCAAGCAGGCTATACAAGGGTTGTCAACAGACTATAACCTCAATTAGTGGACTTATAGCTCAATTTATGAGATTCATACCAACTAAGTGTTGATGCGACTTCAAGTATCTTACAACATGGATGCGGGAGCTGAGCATTCCGGGGAATGTCATTTACATGCGGGGCTGGGCAAGTTCTTTAATATTGGAGGGGCCTGCTCGGGAACTCGGTCTTCCTGCTGCTTAGACAATACTCTGGGATTGCATCTGGCCCCTTGGTCAATTGTTCACAACCCTTATGGCCCCTATGTAGCCCTTATGAACCCTATATAATCCTTGTAATCCCTTTATGATCCATATAACCCGTATATAACCCTTATAACCCATATGAACCGTTATAAACCCTTCATAACCCTTGTCAACCCTATATCACCCGTATAACCCCTATAAAAACCTTTATAACCCCTAGATAACTACTATACAACGCTTGCAAACCTTATATAACTCTTAACCCTAAGCCCTCAACCCTAAACATGTTTGTAAGGGATTGTGCGGAAGGGGACTCGATATTGATGGCTGAAGGAAGGGATTACTAGCCGGTTTATAACGCTTATATACGGGTTATAAGGGCTATGTAGGGGTTATATGGATTATAAAGGGGTTTTAAGGTTATATAGGGTGGATAAGGGTTATATAAGGTTTAGAGTTTAGCAACTATGTTGTTTTTTCCTTGTCGGGTAGCCTGACTTTAACGCTCCTAAACAAACACCTCCTGAACACGCTCAGTAACATACTTACTCTATTCCAGAAAGCTATGAATGATCCTATATGAGCTGTGCTCCGCAAACCGGACACCCAATATTTTGACCAATAGTCACTATGGTCCGAAAGAACCCTACATACACCGACCAAATACAATGAACAAAACCTACCTCGCATAGGAAACTGTGCATAGGCAGTGCGCAAGGGTCACCCAAAGCCTTCCCCAAAGCATGCTTTAAAGACTCGGAAGACGTAGGAAGACGCAGTAGGCGTGTTTTCAATGGGGATTTTCAGTCCCCTAATTGGGGGTAATTAGCCTGTTTCAAACCTCCTTCATTATAATAAATTACTGACTTGCCACCAAGCCTGAACCCGTGAAGCTAAACGACCGTGACAGTCCAAGCACTCAATGTGCATGTATACTCCCCGAAAAACGTATCACAAGTATTTTTCACCCAAATCCCACGTACTAAAGTATTGGGTGCTTGGACCCCTAGGGTGAGCGAGCCCTTTTGAACGCAGGAGCTGTTCCACCGCGCGCTGCCATGGATCTCCAGCTGGTGGCGCTGCACCGCCAGGAGCTGGACAGGTGAAAATGCTTGTTTTGCATTAGAGTGTAAGGTTCAGGTACAGGGACCTCAAGGCATAAAAATTCAGGATTTGAGCCGTGTGGAGATTGGAGTCGTTGCCGAAGGGTCCGTTTGCCACAAGGAATTTATCGGGATACCTAACAGAACTGATATCAGGTGGCACAGCTGATATGAGCCATAGTCTAAACTCCTAGCGTCACCTTTTGTAACCCCTGTAATACTTGTCAAGTTGCCTTTGGAAAGCATGGCATTCAAAGCCTCTAAGCCCTAAACCCGAATTGGAAGCTGGCGGCCTGACTTGGCTCCTTCGACTTGCCAGTGTCGATCAGGGAATGAGGGAATAGAATCCACAGATTACATCCCTATATACTATATTCCCTTATTCCCTACTAACCCCCAGCTATCAGGTTCCTGCGTTCAAGATTCAGGGTTATCAGGCCGTTTCTGGATACATCTCCTAGCCCTGGACCGGCCTCAACCCCAAACTCTGTGCCCTAAACCGTGTAAAGCTCTTCAAGAATCGATTGCAGAACATTCCCGCGATCTCAAGGCTTTCTATCGGCAACCCTTCAAACTCCATAGGCCCTGAACTGAACGTAAGCACATTGTTCAGGAGAACCGGGATAACCTGTGTATTCCATCATGTGACACCGAACGATCGATATTGGCATATGGTATATGCTTGAGAGATCTCTGGTATATACTTGGGCCCAAGAGGCATTTTGTGGGAGACCCTTTAGGTCTTACGTGTATACTATTCAACCCTTCGGGAAGCGAAGGACCCCCTAAACCCGAACCTTGAACCACTCACCCCTCTGCAATCACCAAATCCAAGCCCTTAACCCTACTAAACCCTAAACCCTAAACCCTAAACCCTACTAAACCCTAAACCCTATAAACCTCAAACTGTAACGTCGCTCCCGAGTGCCTCCGGATTCGTAGAGCCCCTTTATTTGGGTATCGTCGGCGGCCACCGCAAACATCTGAAAGTCGGCCATGACTCCCCAAGCTTCCTGGTTCTGCACTTCTGGCCAAGTGCATTACTATCATTACTATTATAGTACAATTGGTACTATCATGTTCCAATTATTACTGTTACTCTTATTTATCTTAGAGTACTCATACTACTCTTACTACTCTCATTTCTAGTATCACCTAAACTATTATTATTCTTACTACTACTCCTCTTCTTACATTTCTGTTCCTAGTACCCCCCGCTAGTGCGCTGGACAAGGTCTGAAGAACTTGAACTAAAGCTCACAAGCTCACCCCCCTGAAGACATTGGCCCTAAATCCTAAACCCTAAAATAAAACCTAGACCCCGAGCTCTCAACCCTCAACCCCAAAACCTGAACCCCAAACCCTGAACTCTGAACCCTACACCCTGAGCCATGAACCATTCGTATTTTATAAATCCCGAGACCGCCCCGCTTTCATGTCATGTTCCATTTCTTGACATTTATCTGTTACAACCCATGTTTGGGGATTATGTACTCAAAGGCATGTAAGCATCTCTACATCCGCGGCTGTTTCCCACCACGCCGATGGTGCCGCGCGCCTCCCAACGAGTCCAAAGCTTTCGAGGTGGGTTGACCTCTTGAGGGCAGTGGAAAAACATCGGGAAGCAGTACCAATAAGCGCCCCTAAACCCTAAACTCTAAACCCTTTATAACCTGCAATAGTAGTTTCCATTTTCTTTTCCATTCTCCCCATATAACCCTAACATTACCCCAATGGGTACCTATAATATCCCAGTGGCTTGATAGCCAACCCAGAACATCGCATAGCATTGGAATGATGATGGCTTAGGAATCCTACACAATAAACCATAATGTAGACCCATGATTGATAAACCCCTCCTTCTACGGGCCTTGACATTGGGATCCCTATTATAATCCCTACTGTATCAGGGGTTTATTAATCAGGGGTCTTCATTATGATGCCCTAGGGCTCCACATAACCTGATGTAGCTAATATTTACAGACTTTAGGGCCCATTGTAGGTATTATTTGTATACTTGGATCCCTAGGGATACATCAACAGCCACAACCCTAAACCCCAAAACTTGCGCCTGAGACCTCTTCGAGCCGATTCGCAACCCATCAATGTAGTACCTCAGTTTAGGGGCGGACAGGGCTTCATGTTTGCGATTGGGATGTTCTTTGGTGGCGGTCAGAGAAACTAAGTAAGCATAGTTGTGATGCCAAAAAAAGGCGCAATAACCCCAGTTGAAACAAACGACTTCTTAGGTCCCCTGACCTTCCAAGTATTTTGGGGTTGGCTGGGGGAACCATCTAGAACCCTGAACTCAATAATTCGCAGTGCTCATTAGGAAAAAGGCGGCGCAGGAAGAGGAGGTGTAAAATGTGTACAACATTCTTGTTTAGTATTATAAATACCCTGTATTTGTTATTACTACGATAACTACTAAAAGTAGCAATGAAATGATATCGCCAGCTTCGGTTTCCACAGAATGTCGAGGCTTGCGTGTTTTGAGGTGTGCATAAGCTACATCCAGAGCCAGCTAAAGCTCCGGCAGCTGTATTGGCTCAAGGTTGCGAGGATTTGGGAGTGTACTTTTTTGTTGCTTGCCAAAACACCTACCCACGGAAACAAAAACATCAAGAACTGTCATTCAGGCGCTGAAGGTCTATCTTGCGGGATTGGATATAAAGCCCACCCTAAACCCTAAACCGATCCTGGGTTCATGGCTCAGGTTAAGGGTAAAGGCCCTTGAGGGTTCAAGCATCTTTCAGCTGCTACTACGATGCTTCTCCAGAATCCTCGATTTAGCAATGCTGGAAGCAGAGTTTCAATCAACCTTTTACAGCTCCTAGGTCCTAGGATACACCAGGTGTATGTATAGTACCCTAAACCCTAAACCCTAAACACTAAACCCTAAACCCCAGACTGGGGTATATACATAGGCCATGCTCCAAGTAATTAAATCCAAACTACAAGCCCTCTCATACGACCAGGATCCCACGAATTCAGAACAAAAAAAAGGGGCACCGACTGTTAAGTCTAACCTGATTCTATGCAGAACCTAGGACCTAAAAAAGGGGATTCGCCACAGTCTTGAAGACAGAGAGTGCCCTGAGCCCCCATGCCCTAACCGTTAATCATGACTCTAAAGCAAACTAGCGGCGTACTTCTCCGCTGCCGGCCCACAACTGCAATGTGATGCCAGCCGTCAGTCAAGTCTCTCGCGTTGAAGCCCTCCACGAACGAGTTGCTGTTGTAATTCCTGGACTATCCGGAGGGGCCTCCCTTGATGAACGACTTGCTAGTGTAGTTCCGGGACCATTTTTCATCCACGTACGCTTGGGGTGGATTTGAATTTTCTGCTATTGTAATTCCTAAAAGGAGGGTTCACAAAGTAGGGCTACACTGAAGGACTGCAGGGAGGTGTGGGAATTGCAGGCAGAGTACGCGGGGCCCCCTTTCACGAATAAGTTGCTTTTTAACCCCTAGTCACAGTTCAAGGTTTAGGCGCTTAGGGCAGTTCAAGCCTAGACCATGAGTTTGCAGCAGAGTCGATGAGCTAATAGTCTCATCGTTGCTCAAGACGGGCTACCCCCTACCAGACTCTATATTCCCGCAGTACTAACCAAATCTTTTTCTATGTCATGTGATACCTAAGCCCTCAACCCAAACCCTAAATAGTAGTTTCCATGTTCTTTTCCTATATCCCTATAAAAAAACACTAAACCCTCCAGATTCTGGGCTTTGTTTAACAAATATTTTTGGTAAAGCTATTTTGTACACATTCTGACAAAGAATTTATGGTTGCACCGGAGACGCTTCTTGAGACCCTAAACCCCTAAACCCCTAAACCCCACCCTGTAGTCATCCCGAGTAGGCAAACCTAGTAGCAAGGAGTGAGCCGGAGAAAAGGCTCATGATCCAACCTACCTAAACCCTACAATTGTGTAGACTAATGGCGTTGTGGGCTGTTGCGGTTTCCAAGGGTTTTGGACCATGATTCCTCCTACTTTTGGGGTCCACGTAGTTTCTCGAAGGCTGAACAATCAGAAAGGCTGTCGCGTTTTCATTCGTATCTATCCAATACGGCAGAATTTCCCTTCAGATCATTGAAGCCTCTGCAACAATCAGCCTTTGCCAGCTCGTCAAGAAATAATGCGATCTTTATATACCTACTATATACCCTTTATGTGCCCTTAAGGGTCCCTCCCCCTAAAAGGCCAAACGGCCCATATTAGGGGCCCATACTTCGACACAAGAAGAGCAGCCCCTGAAATTGCCTCTGCACAATCGTTGGTTTAGGGTTTAGCGTTTAGAGTGCGGAAAGCTCACAACTTCGTAGCATGCTTTGTCCGAAACATGCTGGAAAAGCACTCTATGCTACTCTACAAGTGAGGAAGCACAGATGAGCTATAGTCTCAACTCCTAGATAACCCCAATAATACCCCCCTAGATAATCCCGAATAAATCCTCCCTTTAAGTAGTTTAGACTGTAGCTCAGATGAAGCAGTAGGAGGTCAAAGCTTGAAGCGGCACAGCATTGCCGGGTACCTCCAAGAGGAGTATAAAGAAATCCCAAAGGGTTCAGGGTCTAAGGTCCAAGCTAAGTCCCAATGAGTTAATTAATGCATGATGACGGCATGCAGAAGCGCTGGGGGTTGACAGAAAATCTTTTCTCAACAGAATCACTAGCATGATATCTAGATCAAGTTCTACCTTGGATAGCCCCTTGGTGAGGCCTAGATGCAACCACTAATCAAGATCAACCTCCATACATACCAGGCAGAGTGCCAATGTATCCTAGGCGGGCACGAGCCGCCCATGTGTACATGCGGGGGGCTGGGGGCTTCAGAAAGGACTGGTTGCCTTCGGGGAGTATGATATGGACGCTTGTCATCACACTCTCTATATGAACAATAATCCAAACTCCTACCAGTAGCATCCCCCTTGATAACCCCTATAATACTCCTCAATACAGTCCCCTATATGACTCCTTCAAGGAATTTAGAGTTTACCTCCTATCGACACTTCTCATCACAATCTCTACATGAACTTCACAGAGGACCCTACTCTCATTATAACCCCCCGAGCCTCTCCTGTAGAGAATTCACACGCCCTACCCCCAAGCCCTGATCTCTGTTCCCCAACCAGGTAAAACTGGGCCATAATTCTAGTTTCCGCGTCATTCTCGATTTTGCTTTCCATCTGATTCAGGGGAACCGTGGTAACATCTCTAAACCAAAAACCCAGAAGCCCTGAACCCTATCTCTCTCCCATTTCCCAAATAATCGGATATGTAATCTCTAAATATCCACTTTTACCCTCTTTAAGTTTGGAAATTTCCCCAAACCCAGGGACCCAACAGAGATCACGAGATACTATAGTCCTTATTCTAAGGACCCCAAAGAGTACCCCCAATTTTGGGAAACCCCTATCTGACAAAACGCTGCCAGATGCGTAAACCGAGAGTCCCCAAGCGACCCCGAGCAAGAATCACCGCAATGAGCTCTTGTGAGTTCGGCGAGTCTGATGTTTAAACAGGGGGTTCCCAAAATTAGGGGTACCTTTCAAGGGGATAGATAATGATATAAGGTTTATGTAGGGGTATGTAGGGGTATGTAGGGCTTAGGGTCTAGAGGTTTAGGGTTTAGGATAGTAAGGAGGTTTTGGGCGCAAACGGGGGAGTCCACATGAAGCTTAGCCAAATCCTATGGGGTTTGTGCGTAATCAGATATTGTGCATGGGCTGGACGATGCAAGCAAGCAGCCGTTTCACAGGTGGTTAAGTCTTAACCCTAAACCTAAACCCTAAACCCTAAGAGGCTTTCTCAAAATAGGGGAGCCTTAGGGACCTACGAATTTTGTGAATTACGCAAGGACTGCAGAGGGGGCCCTTTTCACGTTTCTGTGGGTCTTTCCAGAGATTCGAAAATAATGCCCATCTAGGCTCCTGTAAGTTCCGTGGAACCCTGGTAAGAATCAAAAGTTCAGCTGGTTCCTAGGTTTATCGATGACGGAAATTACAACTGAACTTCAGGGAACTTCCAGGTTGAGGATTGGGTGCGGCTGTTCCCCCAGGCCCTTTCCGCACCGGAAGATGCGAAGCAGGCTCTTCCACCTACCCAAACCTCAAACAACTAAAATCCTCAAGGCACTTGCCCTCAAGCAACGCAAACTTTGACAAAACAAATGGCAAACACCTAGCCTTGCTGTGGTGATGCAACTATGGACCCTGCTGGATACAGAAGACGGCTCTCAGGTCTCAAAACCATGGTATGGCAGGCAGCTAGCAACGACATGTAATCACAAACAGTGAGCCATGCCTTCCGCCAAGTATGAACTCCTCCATCACCCAGTAGTATGACTCAGTATGAAACACCCCCTGAAGTAGCCCATAGGTATTGGGACCATATCTTTTTTCAATGGGCGAGGGGTATTGAATCTTGGCTGCCGGGCTTATTCTTTGGGATTGCTATGCTGCAAGGCTTTCTTGTGGCATTCTCCGCTTACAGGCTCTAGGGACTAAGTAAGCAAATTTCAGAAAGGGGTCATAAGCAGGCCAACAAGAATTCGGGGACTCGTAACCCCATTCATGGCCTACTTGCTACGTGCCCTGAGCCCTCAGTACGGGCAACCTCCCTGCCCAATCCGCCTACAAGGTCGCGATATGTGCGAGCACCGACATCAATTGGAGCCAGGGTCCACACTGAAATCGTCCACTCCTTATCATCTTTACTGCCATTGCAACCTCGATTATTTTCCGACGTGCTCTCATTGTAGCAATTCTCACGTATCATTCAGATTCCGATTATGGAGGAAGATGGATCCAACGCAAGCAGAAAGGTCTCTTTGTGCTGGCCTTCATCTTGCGAATCTTGACATGCCTACCGCGCAGTACTTAGCTCTTTAAATGCTGCTACTGGAACCCCCAGTCTAAAGGAAAAACGGGGGGTCCCTACATGATAAGTTCTGGTATTTAGACCCAGAACCTAAGACCCCAATGAAGGCAAAGGTGCTGGGAACCCAGGTCAGTCGCGCGCATACTACATGATTTACAATGCAGGTCCTGACTTCCAAGCTTGTAAAAGTGCGGCCAAATGAGCTATAGTCTAAACTCCTAAACCCTAAACCCTATAGTAGTCCCCTATATGAGCGTTCGCCGAAACTCCTTGTATAATCCGATGCCATAAACGACTTGGGGGGGTCCTATCGCTTTTGGGGGTTTTTGCGTTGGACAAAATAAGGGTATCGCTTTTGAGGGGTTCAACCAAAACACAGTCATGCTTTCGTCTTAGATTGAGGGGCATCGCTTTTGGGGGGGTCCTATCGCTTTTGGGGCTTTTGGCACGATTCCTAGATCTCACGGCATTCCTTCTCTTCGTCCGTAATACGCGAGTATTGACCATTGCTCATATAATCCCCTATATAACCCCCCCTTTAAGGAGCTTAGACTAGAGCTCAAATCAAGAAGGGCTACTGCACAACCGAGGTCCAGAGTCTGCATTACTTATAGACTTTCTAGGTTCCCCAGTAAACCCCTAAATAACAAGGTGGTTTAGGGTCTATAGGGTTAGGGTTTAGGGTTTAGGGTTTAGGGTCCCTTTTTCCTACTGTTCTGTTTTAATAAGGACACCCCAAATAAAACGGGTAAAAGGGTACAACTGGGGTACCTAGCTTTGGGACAAGATAAATAAAACGGGTAAAAGGGTACAACTGGGGTACCTAGCTTTGGGACAAGATAAATGGGGCTTCCCGACAATTAGGGCTGCCATTTTGGGGGTCCCTGTAATAAGGGCTACAGCTCCCTAGCTAGGGGAAGCTACCAAATCAGATTCGAGACTTACTTCCCCCCTGGCTGGTCGATCCTCGGCGTTTTAGTGGCCTTGACTGGGCCATTTGGATCTTCAGGGGAAGCTTGGGAAGGGCGAGCCTGAAACGTTGAGCGTAATATAGACAAGTGATTAACAAACCCCCTCCCTCTAAGGGCGTAAATATTAGGATCCCTATTACGATCCTCATGAAGGGGCGAGGGTGTATTACTCAGGGGTCTACAGTATCTAGCATCTTCATGCATGGCTACAGATGTTGCGGGTCTGAACTTGGCTTGGTTGGGTTATAATGGTATATTGGAAGAGAAAATGGAAAGTACTATAATGGGGTCATCTAGGATTTAGGGTTTTGGATTTAGGGTGTACAAAAAGACTGCGAGACTCTAATCAGCTCCACTGTTAGCGCGCGATTTGCCAGCAATGGAGTCATCTCCTGAATCGGTTCAATTTTCTGAGCAGACCTCATTTATCATTCGTATCACTGCCATGAGCTGGTAACTAACACATCACCCAATTGAAAATTCAACACATTATTATCCAGAACTTCTTTATTTGGCCACAACAATCAACAACCATTTCTCACTACTAGGCATTGCAGCAAAGCCTAGGGCTTGAGTCAGAACGCCACACTGCAAGGACCAACCCTTTTTTGCAAAAATATTTGGCGGCCAAGGCTCGTGCCCGAGCTGAACAGTTTGCGGAAGGACAAGGCAACCTCTTCCTGCGCTGATTCAATGGGTTGTTGTGAGTTTCTCAGAGATGCTGAGGGCTTCGGGATGTTTAGGATTTAAAGCCAGAATCCTAAACGCGGACCCCGTGATCTGGGTGTAACCACCAAAGAAAACACACAAGAAACCTGAGTATGGGCTGCAAAAAATCAAGAAATGGTAGGGATTACGCATGTTTCGGACTTTCAGGGCCAGGTCGTGTTTCCATAGGCGCATCCCACCTACGTAGCCCACAAATGCTATATTCCTCCTCTAAGGGGCTCAGACAGCCACAAGCTGGACCCTGATTTTTAGAAGCCCCAAACCCTATGTGTCCCTGTGGACCCCTTATTTCTGGAAATCAAACCATATAGGAAAATGACCAAACAGAGGACCCAATGGAGCTGTAGGGAATTCCTCTAAAGAGGAGAGCCTCGAATACCAAGGGACTTAAGTCCCTGCAAGCGAATAGATTATGAGCAAAGATCACCTGGAGGTTTCTTCGTCATTGCAGCTACCTCCGAAATCGCACCCTTAGTTTGGAAGCCTTGTACCCTGGACCGCATGGATCCTCATATACGGAATGCAAGTACATAACCCAAACAGTTGTGTGATGCACAATAAGAAATCTAAGGGGCATAATTTACGACCTGTTTCATCCTACCTAGTTTCACGTTGAAACCGCAATGGAACCTAGTGGGATATCCCTGGACCCCTTCTGTCTCTATCTACCCCCGAAAAATGCATATAAGAACACCTCTGCTTAGGAAAAACAATATCACACTAGAAACTTTACCCGGAAGAATGCCAAAAAACAATTGCTGTTTCTGGGGAACCCCATGGAACCCTAAACCTTCAGAACGTCGGTCCGTCAAAGTTGATCCCACGCTTGCCCCCAGAGTTCACGGGCGTGACCTCCTCCAAATTCTGGAAGGTGCCTGAGTACTACTGGGACTCTAGGTTTAGGGTTATAAGGGGCTTGATTGGGGTTTAATTTATTGGTTTGGGACATTAAGGCTTGCGAGTCTGGACTTAAAGCTTAGGGCAGCAAAGAACTGAGGAATGTAGGGCCCTGGCAGCGGAACGTATATCTGTGAGTATCTGATTGTTGCACGCACCAAAAACACCACTACCCTGAGACATAGCATGGAGAGGTGCGTGAGGGAGGGATCATAATGTAACGGCTCAAGAACTATGGGTCAAGCAACTCCAACCCTTACGGTGGATGCAAAAAACCATCCGAGACTCCAAGCATTTTATATTAAAGCGGTATTCCAGTATAGTAAGGTCATGCAAGATTTCCACTATAAACATTCATCTACCCTAATGCTTATAAACACCCATGTATGACCCAAAGTTTCATTTGATAGTTCGTATGAGCAATGTTTGCCCGAGGGCCCATGCAGCCACTGATGGCTTCGTAGCCCAAGTTCTCGGGGTCGTCGAAAGGCAGCCGAACCAAAGGGTTTGCCACCAAACCTTGGGCTGAGAAAGATTGAAAGATGCAAATACACGCTTGAAGGTTTAAGGTTTAGGGAGTATTGTACAGCGAAAGGTAAGTCAACAGGGGACCATTTCTTTGAATGAGCCACGCGTTGGGGTGGTCGCGTGAAGTCATCCTTGCATTTTGCCCAAAAATGTCCCGAATACCCACTTATGCTGGAAAAACAATTTGAGAAGACACCGGCACATGAAGTCGGGCTCCTTGGGGAGGATGTTTTCTTCAGGTTCACTGCAACGGCTCGTTGGGCCATGATTTAGGGTTCGTAAACGTAAGTATCTAATGACACAGAAAAACAAGGGCATGTGTTCCGTGCATGTATCCCTAACACAAGCTCAGAGAAGAACGTAGTAGTATTTCCTTACAGGGAGCACAGAGAACAACAAGAAGGGACGGCAAAAAACAACAAAATGTGATTTCCTTACAGACAGCACAGACAACAACAAAATAATATGAGCGTCGCCCAAAACCTAAAAGCCTCCTTCTAAAAACAATAACGCTTTATCATCTCATCACTCTTATCGGTTCCCGTGAAATCACAATAATCAAAACGTCATTTTGTTTTCAGTCTTATCGTCTTCCCATCATCTGCAGACGCCTATCAACTGTGTCAGTACCACGTATTCCGTAGAGACCCGGGTTTCTGTCCCGGCTCATATGGGTGGTTGTCAAAATTATGGTCCCTTTTGGGGTCCCGATAATAGTACGGCCCCTAATATTTAGGGTACCCAAAAAGGGACCATAATTTTGACAACCACCCATATATGTCTTACAAGGAACCATGGACAGCAACCAAATGT